TCTCTATGAGGCTGATTATGACAGCCAAATTGTGTCTTCCTTAGCAATTTAGAGAGATCCTGCCTCAGAATTAAATAAAATAAGGCAGGGTACACAGTTAAGTGGTATCAAAATTTCTTTCCTGTTTTTGATTTTTCGAGATAGGGTCTTACTATGTAGCCCCAGTTGGCCTACAACTTGTCATGCCTTAGTTTCCTGAGTGATGAGATTATATACTAGCACAGACTGCACACATGCATCACCACACCTGGCTGATAAATAATTTTAAAAAGTCAAAAAAAAAGCCAGATGTGGTGTCACATGTGTTTAATCCCAATACTGGGAATACTGTGGCTGGGGGAGTACAAGTTTAAGGCTAGTCTGGGGTGGATAATGGGTTCAAGGCCAACCTGGGCTATATAATAACTCTGTCTCAAAAACAAAACAACAACAAAAAATAAAAGATAAATTTTTAAAAAAATTTTTATTTTTTGGTACCAGGGATCAAACTCATGACCCCGTGCTTGCAAGGCAGCTACTTATGCAGCTGAGCTAAATCCCAGGTCCAAAGATAATTTTGATAATTTTTTTTTTTTTTGTGCTGGGGATCAAACTCACAATAATGCCACTGAGCTAAATCCCTAGCCCCAAAGATAAATTTTTTAAAAAGTAGTATCAATCAGTTGATCAACCCCCAAAGAGAAGAATTATCTTTGATTCTTTTCCTTCAACAATTAACATTCTTTCAACTTTGTCTTAAAATACATGTTCTGAAATTATATATATATATATGTATTTCAAAATCAATACCTTTCACCATCTCTTTGTTTCTTTTTGAGATAGGGTCTCGCTATGTAATTGTGGCCTTGAACTCACCATACAGCCCAGGTGTCTCAAACTCGAGGTGATCTTTCAGCCTTGGCCTCCTAAGGGCTGGGATTATAGACGATTGTTTGCCGCCGTACTGGCCACTTACATCATCCTAGTTCTGATGTTCAATTCTAGTTCTGATGTTCAATTCAGTTCTGATGTTCAATTCTAGCTCTCATCACCCACTGGCTACTGAAAGTTTTCCCATTTGATCCACTGTTTCCATTTGTTACTTCCTCACTACTTTAGTCTCTCTAAAGTAGACAGAAAAAATCTTTTTTTCTTTGTCTTTATGAGACCCCTAGGGTTTCACTATGCAGTTCAGGCTGGCCCTGAGCTCACTTTGAGGCCAGGCTGGTCTCGAACTCACAATGATTCTCCTGCTTCAGCCTCTCTAGTTCTGGGATTACAGGCTTGTACCACTACACCTGTTTTTTTGTTTTTTCTGTACTGGAAATTGAATTTGGGACCTCTTGCTTGCCAGGCAGATGCTGTACCTTGAGCTATATCCCCGTCCCCCCCCCCCCAAAGCTTTTAAATATAAATATTGGGCTGGGGCGATAGCTCAGTGGTAGAGTGCTTGCCTAGTATGGGTGAAGCTCTGGGTTCAAACCCCAGCACCAGCACCAGCTCCCCAAGTAAACATTACTGTGACACCTCAAGCGGAAATTCTTTCAGTAAGTGTCTACTCTAGAATAAACATGAAACACTTCATAATTCTGTGAAAGACACATTACATCTGGTGACTCTACCTCCAAACGAGTTTGTGGTAACTCTCAATTTAGTTCATTTTACTTAAGTAATATTGGCTTACTTGCTTTTTCCATAAATTGCATTCCCTGAGCGTGAGGTGCTGGTGCCTGCCTGACACGCCAGCCCTTTGGGAGGCTAAGGCACAAGGGTGGGAAGTTGAAGGTTGCTAGATTATTCTGGCGTAATACAGAAGCAAAAGTACAAAATGAACAGGTTTATTGAGTTGGGGACGAGGGAAGGAGCACATGACCCATGGCGGCTGGGCCGTCTCCTTTGACAGGAATATGGGGTATGGGACATATGTAACCTTTGACTGGTGGTGGTTTGGTTTAGGGCGGGCATTGATGATGCTTGAGGAACTGATTGGAGTTCTCTGTGTGTGCAAACAGGGAGGGGAGTTGCAATTAGGGCTGAGGAAGAAGCAGGAAGTGGTGGTGTTCTTGCTTTGGCCTTCCACCACATTAGGCCACCGCCATAATTGTACAGTAATTTATACTTGGGCAAGAACCTTTCAAAGGTCAGGCTGAGCAATTTAGCGATTGAACAAAAGCCTGATTCAAAATAAAAATGGAAACAAGAGCTTGGGATGGACCTCAGCACAAATTTTTTTGTCGCTTGGACAAAACACCACTAGCCAAAATAAAAGAAGGAAAGTTTTATTTTGTTTACAGTTTTTTATTCTTTTAAATTTTATTTTAAAGAAAGCTCAACACACAAAACAGTAAATCTAGTCAAAACAAAGCAGTGAAACTGGTAAAGAATTTCAAAGCAGGACAACAGGAAAACAGTGGCTCCCCTGGCCCATCTCAGTTATCGTCACAGTAGTTGTTCATTCCATCAGATATAGCAGAACGAAACCAAAACAAAACAGAATAAAACCAATCAAAACAGAATATTGAATAAAGAAAAACAGCTACTTGGACCAAAACAAAACAGAGAGCCACACTGGATTTCAAAAGCAAAATGTAGGAAATCCACCATATTTTCTATATTGCATACTGTTTACTGTTATCCTCCCTATAGATGCTCAGACCCCCGGCCGCACCTGCAAAGTCAGCCAAATCACACAAGCATTCAGTTACCTTGTGTACCTCAGCTGCTATCACTTAGCCGGTTCTCAGGACCAGCCAGTTGTTTATAGGTGTGGAGGGGAGTTGGTGATCCTTAGCTCACGGGAAGCGCTGATTTTTCTCTTCCCGGGCCACCACCTAGCTTGTGCGCCTAGAAAGGCTGGCTAGTGGGCCTGTTGGCTGGCTCCTCTCAGTCCCTGCATGTCCGATTCTTCTAGCTTACAGTTCTTGGAGGTTTCAGTCCATAACCAGCTGGCTCCAAGGCAGAGTGGCATGGCACTGGGGCAACACTTCAAGGCAGCAGCCATCAAAAGCAGCCGGAGCAAAGGGGAGGATGAAAGCAAATCTCTTCTCTTCCTTTTATTGTACATTGGCCCTCCCTGCTCCAGGGCAAGTGTAGCACTCACAAAATCTCCTTGCGCTCCTTTGGCACAGGATGAGGATATTTACAAAGTAAGAACCCTGGCTCTCTGCTGAGTCTCTTAGTTAAATTTCTAAACTTCTCAAATTGACACAATGTATCAACCATAACAACCACAAAAACCAAAACTAAAACCACACTTGAGACAATAAATTAGTGATGCATAGCAACACAAGCCAAAGGAATTTCAAATACTGAAAAGATTCTTTCTTTGGTGAGTTTAATGTAAGAAGCATGTCTTTTATTCTGGTGGTGTTAGTTATTTAAAACTAGGGCCTCATGCATGCTAAAGATGCAGTCTGCCACAATCCATCTATAGCCTCAGGAAAGAAAAATGGAACTTTTTCCTTTCCTTTCTCTTCTTTTATAATTAGTTAATTAATTTTGTGTACTAGAACCAACCCAGGAATTTTCCGCCATTGAGTTACATTCTTAGCCCTTTTTATTTTCAAACAGGATCTTGTTAAATTTCCCAGGCTGGCCTTGAAAAGGCCTCAGTCTTTGAGTATTGAGATTATAGGCGTTCATCACCAATATTCCACATTTTTGGTTAGCTTAAATTCAAATATTAGTCTGATAAATGGCGCACGTTGACTATTCTGTTTATTGGCACTGATTGAGTGCCCAAAGCAAAGGGGTGATTTTTTTGGCTACAGTTATTTGAATGTGTACTCTCTCAATCTACATCTATAAATACTGCATACTTCTATGTACAGCTCTGTTCCAATTGCGTATTTTTAGGGAGGTATTTTTTTCCACTAAATTTTCCTCTTCTTTGTTCTAAAACGTTAACAATACTATTGTATCAGCCAGTCTTCACAAAAGACATGTCAGGGATTATCGTTAGCATTACATTTGCTAATACATATAAGGTGCTAAAGTAAATGAGGACCAATGAATTAATATCTATAAATGTAACTGAGGGCCCGGCGTGGTGACGCACACCTGTAATCTCACCACTCAGGAGGCTGAGGCAGGAGGATCCTTGCGAGTTTGGGACCAGCCTGGGCTACAAAGTGAGCTCTAGGCCAGCCTGAACTGCGTAGTGAGACCTTGTCTCAAAAAGAAAAACAAAACAAAACAAAACAAACAAAAGTAATGGAGGAACCGGGCGTGGTAGCATATGCCAGTAATCTCAGCATGCGGGAGGCTGAGGCAGGAGGACCTCTGTGAGTTCGAGTCCGCCCTGGATTACATAGTGACTTCAAGGTTAGTCTATACTACACAGCCAGACTCTTTAAAAAAAAAGAAATGTTACTGAAAAAATGACAATGGTGAGGTCTCGATTAACATAAGGGAGATGGAAAACTAGGTAAGAAGTCAGGCGTGCTTCTACAAAGACGCTCAACAGACAAGATTACTGCCCCGCCTCTTAGTCACCACCTGCTCGGCTCCGCCGCTGACCACAGCTGCTGGCCAGTGCGGCTCCGGAAGGTAAACACCTAGCGAAGGGCGTGGCAGAAGGCGGGCTCGAGACACGCGAGTGGCCGGCTACAAGTGATTGGCAGCTGCCACGTCCACGTGCTTTGAGCTTCGAACCTGCTGTCGCGAGAATTCCATGTAAACAGATCAAGACTCCCTGTCCTCTGGTCCCAATCTGAGACGCTTGGGTGAGGTCGACAGAAGCCTGGGGCGTGTTGCTTCAAAACAAAGCTACGAAGGTTTTGCTTGTACATAAAACAGACCTATTTGTAATTCGTCTCCACTTCCCTGCGTTCGCAACCGAACCTGACAATCAGCTCACCCGAATTTACATACTGTTGTGTTTTCCCTCCAGCCCCAGCGGATTGGGTAAATCCAGTAGGCGGGTCCGCCTCTTTTCTATTTTCTGGTTGGCTAAAATGACCTCCAAGGGCGGTGCCCGGCCCTGGCCAGTTCGCCTTTGGGATTGGCCAGCATTGTGGTTCCGCTGAGGCGTGGTAGGAAGTAATAGCTGTCAATCACGAGGGAGACTCCAAACAGTGAGCCTAGAGCTGGAGAACAGCGTTTACCGGCGGAGCGGCCGGTGAGAGGGCTGGCGGGTCTTTGGTTTTGGAGAACCTTGGGGAAGGCGAGGGGCAGGCAGCGTGAGGTGACAGGGCTTGGCCGGCAGTAGCTCGACTGGGTAGGGGCGTGGAAACTGGAGGGGGAGGGGAGAAGGGCAAGGGGCCAGAGGGCGGCCGGGGGCAGCGGTGCCTCCGCGTTGGAGGTTGAGTGGGCAGCGTCGCGGCGGCGTCTTTCGGGGAAGCGTGGCCAGAGAGGCTGCTGAGGGTCGCCTTCAGGTGACAGATCCCTTAAAGGACAGGGGTTGGCAGAGTGGTTCGGAAGAGAAAGGGTGGAATGGAAATGAGAGGGTTGGGGGGGCTGTAGGTAAAAGGGTACCCCTTAAGGAAGGGATGGCTGGGCTATTGGGCAATAGGTGTTTTGGTTTGTAGGAAGTGGGGCTCACCACTTTGGGAGTTTTCGTACAAGGTGATGAGTGCTCTCTGCTTAGAAGTGATGCTTTCAGGTTGGGTCCAGGCTGTGGGCTTTCCTGAGTCCTGTAGAGATCTTTAATATTGCTGTTGGTCTTCTTTTAACCCTCACCGGTAGACGCTATGATTCAGGGGTACACTTCGGGGTCAGGATTCAGGGATGGCATGGGAGAGGACAAGGGGCTTCTCACATCTTATAAGTTTATATTACATGTTTGTCTAAATAATAGCCAAAGATGAACAATACAGTTTTAATTGTGGCCATGCAGTTTTATTCATAGGTTCTCAACAGGTTTAATAAGACAGAGTGATAGCATGTCCTTGTTACATTGGTTTTGATATATCATATGTAATTTTAGTAGCTGAACCGAAACTTAAATAAATTTCAAAAATTTGGCTCACAAAGGAAGCACGTTTATTTTTCTGATACCATGTTACACTTCCCTGTTATGATATTGTTCTCTTTGTAGTTTTTGTTAGAACAAAAAGGCCCAACAAATCTTAACTGGTTTTGTGGTTTCAAGGTATAGATAAGAAAAAACTCTCGTGATAATTTGAAAAGAAAAAAAAATTTTTTGTAGACAATAGTCTTCTTTTGTAGTTCAGGTTGGCTGTGAATTGACTATGTTGTGGCCTTGAACTTGTAGCAGTCCTCCTGCCTCAGCTTTTTGAGTGCAGGGGTTACAGGAGCATGCCACATGCACAGATAATAATTTGGAATTTTAAAAATCTAGTTCTTGGGGCTGGGGATTTAGCTCAGCGGCATAAGCGCCTGCCTTGTAAAGCAGGCAGTCATGAGTTCGATTCCTGGTACCGATAAAAAGGAAAAAGACAAAAAAAAAAATCTACTTATTTCTTTGATTTTCTAGTGTAGTAGAAATCTCTGGGAATTAAAAAAAAAAGAAATCTCTGGGAATGTTTCCTCAAGTGATCTACATTGAGCAACCACTTCTGTGTTTTTGTTCTGGAAACAGGTTTTTATGAGTGAAACTATGGCTACGGATTCACCTAGAAGACCCAGTCGATGTACTGGTGGAGTTGTGGTTCGCCCCCAGGCTGTCACGTAAGTATGTTTCAGATAAGCCCAATAGCTGATGAAATCATTGCTTAGAACAATAACATTCACATTTTCTTTTTGAATAGTACTTAGTTTATAAAAAATCTAATTTTGGCTTTACAGCTGATATCCTTGTGAGGGCCAAATAAAAGGAAGAATTGGAGGGTTAGGTTGATGTATACAGTATATTTAAAAGTAACTGAAGCATACAGCATCAAATTTATGTATTTTTTTAAAGACAGTCTTGCTATGTAGGCCAGGATGGTCTTGAACTCACTATGTAGTCCACATGGGCCTTGACCTCGTGGTTATCCTCCTGCCTCAGCCTCCTGAGTGTTAGGAGAACAGGGATGTGCCACCACACTTGGCCCATGGTGTCAAATTTTGAAGAGCTGTGTTTCTTTCAAACTCCAGGTCTTAGAAATTAGTGGTTTTTCCCAGGGTGGTGGCACATACCTGTAGTCCCATAGGGGTAGGAGGCTGAGGCAGTGAGATCACAAATTTAGAGAGACTGTTCCCTCAAGGGTTGGGGATGTAGCTCACTGCAAAGGCCCTGGGTTCAATGTCCAGCCCTTCCCCTGCAAAGAAAGAAAACTAGTAGTATAGTACATCCAATTAGTTGGTCAAGATCAGTATATTAAAAAATAGAATGTGGCAGGGTACTTAGTGTGCTTGAGGCCCTGTGTTTGATACTTAGCACTACCAGCACTGTGATATATGGCTAGAAAGTGCAGCTAGTTCAGTTGGCATTGTTTTGTGATCTGCACAAAGTTATACACAAAGTTACACTCATGTGTGTATGTATGATCACTAGATTGTAATTTAACATGTATACTTAAAAATGTATACTTCACTCTAGGTTTTTTTTTAAACTTTTTATTGGTACCGGGGATGGAGCTCATGACTGCCTGCTTGCAAGGCAGGTGCTTATGCAGCTGAGCTAAATCCCCAGCCCCTTCACTCTAGGTTTTAGTCAGAATTTTGTATTATTTTGGTACTGGAGATTGAACCCACTGAACTCCATTCTCAGCTTTAAATTGCCCAGAGTGGACTAGAGCTTGCAGTCTTCCTGCCTCTGTCTTCCAGACTGATGGGATTATAGGCATGTGCAACCATGCCTGCTTTATATTTTAGGCGTTCTTTGACAAAAGATATTATATTTTCTAGGAGTCTGTAAGCCAACGTGGGTTAAAGGAATGTATGCTTGAAATTAATGTAATTTTTTTTTGTCTTTTTCTTTTTTATCGGTACCAGGGATTGAACTCACGACTGCCTGCTTGCAAGGCAGGGTGCTTATGCCGCTGAGCTAAATCCCCAGCCCCTTGTAATTTTTTTTTTTTTTTTTTGAGACAGTGCATTTCAAGCTGGTCTTGAACTCACTGTAAACCTTAGGCTGGCCTCAAATTTGTAGTGATTCTCCTGTTTCAGCCTCCCAAGGGCTGGGATTATAGACATGTGGTACTGTGCCTGGCTAGTGTAATAAGAAAGAAAAGATTCCAGCCAAACATGAAAATTTAGAGGGAGTATTTTAGTAGTGTGGTCAGAAGAGGTTTAAGGTAATACTTTAGAGTATGTCTTTAAAAGCCAAGTAGAATTTGGACTTTTAGAATCAAAGGTGCATTTTAGGTAAGGGAAACTGAGCAAATATAGGAAAGCTAAGCTATTATTTATAAATGAAATTTACATCTGGTATAGAGAAGTTGAACTATTTAAAGTAGGTTTTGGTGGACAATTAAGACTATTTAGTACCTGGTTAAGGAAGTGAAAGTTGTTTTAGGGCCCACCCCACCCTTTTTGAGATAGGGTCTTGTTATGTAGTTCAGACTGGTTTTGAACTCACTATATAGCATGCCAGCCTTGTTTTAAGCTTTTAAAAATGTTCTTAGTGAACTGGGTATGGTGGTGCAAGCCTATAATCCCAGCACTCTGGGGCACTGAGGCAAGAGGAATACAAATTCTTAAATTCAAGGCCAGCCTAGGTAATTTAGTGATTTAAGAAGACCCTGTCTCAAAAAATAAAAAAGACTTAGAGATGTAGCTCAGTGTGAAGGCCCTGGGTTCACTTTTCTATACCATAAACAAACAAGTATATAAAGTACTTTTAGTGGAAATTGTAGTAATTTGGATTATTTCCTTTGGAAGTTTAGCATGTTACAAAATGATTGTCCTCTCATACTAATAAAAGTATATGTGTAGTGTGATATTTTACCATAGGAATTTTTTCATGTTCACTTCCCAGCACAATATTTATTCATTATGGACCATGGCAACAAGTTAAACATGTTATTAGCTGTGAGTTAAGTGCTATTTTTGATCTGCATTTTACAGGTGAGGAAACCAAGGCTGAAGTTAAGCTGTGCTAGGTAACAGTGACGAAGGGGAGCTAGATCCAGCGAAGGCACCCTGTTTAGTGTTCTGTGCTGCCTCACCATATGATGTTCAAGGTGTATTAGTTTTCTTGTAATGTAACACATGCTCTTACTTTTTTTTTTTGCACTAGTAATTAAGCCCAGAGAATGCTGAGCCCTAAACTCAGTTCTTGTTCAGTTTTTTTTCTTTTTCATTTTATTTTTTTAAAGTTTTATTTATTTTTTTGAGACAAGGTTTCACTCCGTAGTACAGGCTGGGCTTGAGCTCACTGTGTAGTCCAGGATGACCTCGAACTCACAGCGATCCTTCTGCCATAGCCTCCTGAATGCTGAGATTATAGGCATGTGCCACCATGCCTGGCTATCTTTTCCATTTTTATTTATTTATTTTTCATTTTATTTTGAGACAGGTTTTTGCTAAGTTGCCTAGGCTGGCCTTAAACTTGGGAATTTATAGTTCTGCGTCAGCTTCCTGAGTAACTGGGAGAATAGGTGTGTGCCTTTACACCTGGCTTAGGTTGCTTTTTTAATCTTTCATTCTTTTAGTAAGGCTTGAGCATTTACTATATGCCTAAGCACTGGCTAACTGGTTGTGGAGGTAAAAGATATATATGAGAGAGGATTGCTTTCTGTGTTAGAACTTACGTTCTAATGGAGTGAAATAGTAAACAAGTAAATTAGTAGTTATAGGGTGTCATCTCTGCCCGGTGTGCCGTGATGGAGAATGAAGGTGACAGTGTGTCAGATTGTCAGGAATGGTCTCTCCAGTAGTTAACCTGGAGACACTACCGTTTATTTATTTCCTTGTTTGTTTGTGTGTTTGTGACAGCATCTTATGCATAGTTCAGGCTGGTCCTGGCCTCACTTTGAAGCTTTACTGTGATTCTCTTGCCTCAGTCTCTTACAGGTGTGCACCACCACACCCGACTAAGGGCCATCACTTTGAAGGAAAGTATATGGAGAGGTATTTAGCAGAAGGATGGTGTAAAGGTCTGGATACAAAGAAGAACTTGATGTATTCTAGGAATTCAGGTTGTGTAAAGGTGAAGAAGAGTAAGTTAGAGGAATGGCAAAAAAAAAAAAAAATTGCAGGTCAGACAGATTCTAATTGCTCTCTCTCTTTTTCTCTTCTTTTGTTTCTGTTGCCTGTTATTGAACCCAGGGATTCACACATGCTAAAACATGTGCTCTGCTTCAGTTATCCCTGGTCCCCAGAATAGACATTTTTTTTTTTTTTTTTTTTTTTTTTGCGGTACCGGGGATCAAACTCACGACCTCTCACTTGCCAGGCAGGTGCTTATGCCGCTGAGCTAAATCCTCAGCCCCTGTTTGTTTTTATTCTTAACCAAATGTCTTCAGTCTCAAAGGTATATTGTTCATTCTAAGATTTAGGATAATTCATTATTTTTTAAAAGTATAATTTTATCATCTCTTTCATGAAATATATTTGATTTAGTATGTTTTATTTATTGTTTGCTCACTGAGTTATATCCTTAGCTCCTTTTTATTTTTTATTTTGAGATAATCTGCTTAAGTTGCTATGTTGACCGAGCTGGGCTTGAATTCATGATCCTACTTCCTGAGGCTTGCAGAGTTCTGGGATTAGAGGCATGTGCCATCATGCCCAGCTGATTTAGTGTTTTGAAGGAATTGTTTTTCTCCACTTGATGATACCCATATACTTCCCATTTAAAATACCTCCCCAGCCCCAATCTGTGGTCATGCTACTACTGACCTACATTCTCATTCTGTGTCTGTCTCTGTCTGTTTTCTTGTCTCTCTGATCTGTGTATGTCTAGTGCAGTACTGGAGACTGAACCCATGGTCCATTTACCAGTGAGCTACATCCTCAGGCTTTTTTTATTTTGGTACCAGGGATTGAACTCACTATCTCATGCTTGCCAGGCAGGCTCTTATGCCACTCAACTAAATCCCCAGCCTCCCCAGCCTTTTTTTTTTTTGAAACAGGGTCCATGCTGCCCAGACTGGCCTGAAAAATTACACTCTTTCTGCATCATCCTCCCAAATAGCTGGGATTATAGATGTGTGCCACTACATTTGCAGTATCTCCAGAGGTGGTCATGTTATCACATGACTGAGATCCCAGGATTTGGGAGGCTGAGACAGGAGAATGGCAAGTTTGAGGCCCAGTAGGGCCATAGTAAATTAAAGGTCACCCAGGACTACCCAGGGAGACTGTCTTGAAACCATCTATATGTATATTTATGTCTCAGAATGGTAGAGTTCTTGCCTAGCATGTGTGAAACCCTGGGTTCAATTTCCAGTACTAAAAAGAACCCAAACAAACTTCATTTAGTGTCCTTAACAATGCTAACTTTCTACACTTTCATGAATTTTAATGTTTACCTGTGCCTTGTATGTGCTGAAAGTTCTGTAAGTACTTTTAAAATTTTTGTTGTATGCTTTCTTCTGCAGCAAAAATGCAGACTGATTTTGCAACATACTAGTTGTAGATCAGGGACTTAGTTCCCAAACAGTTTAAAGGGAAGATTACTAAACACTGGGTCATTAACCACAGTTTTTCTTGCTCCCATAGGGTGTTGTTCTGCTCTGGCTTAAGAGGAAGATGTTGCCTTAGCCAGGAGTACTGTATTCACACCTTCAAATATTAGGTGGATATTATCTCTAGCAAATTAGGAAAGCATAACTTTTTTGATACAAGGTTTTGCTATGCGGTTTAGACTGGCCTTGAACTTATGATGTAGCTTAGGTTGGCCTCAAATTCACAGCCATCTTCCTGTCTCAGCCTCCTGAATGCTGGGATTTGTGCACTACCACATCTGGCTAAGCATGACTTTTTAAAAACAGATAATGGGGGGGCTGGGGATTTAGCCAAGAGGCATAAGCACCTGCCTTGCAAGCGCGCAGTTGTGAGTTCAATCCCTGGTACAAAGAAAATAGCAAAAAAACAACCAGATAATAGGGCCGGGCATTTAGCTCAGTGGCATAAGCATCTGCCTGGCGAGTATGAGGTGGTGATCCCTGGTACCAAAAAAAACAAAACAAAAGATAATATTTAAAAATGCTGAAAGCTTAGAAAGTGCACAGGCAGAATTATCAGGTGATAAGATTTGGCCCTTTTTTTTTGTTACATTATGAATGGCCTTTTTAGGACTCATCAGTAGATCTTTCCCAGGTCATGAGTTGTGATGACAAATTTTACCCATTTTACCCTTTTCCAGAGAGCAGTCCTACATGGAAAGTGTTGTGACTTTTCTGCAGGACGTTGTGCCACAGGTAAGTGTCTACGTGTTTTTGTGAAATAGTTTAACTCTGACTAGGAAAGCTCTGAAATGTTCTGTTTCTGGAATTTCACACTAGTGTGAACAACTCCAGAAAATTTTCTAATATTTTAGCATCCTGAGCCTGGGCAGGGTGGAACTACACGCATTACTATGTAGATTAGTCACAGTTTTTCGGTAATGGTGGCTGCTTCGGTAAGTATGACTGCTTAGGACTTACTCTCCTATTAATAACAAAGGTGAATTGCTAATTGAGAATTGGGATATGGGACTCTAGCTGGGCTTGTCTCTGTCTTTTTTGGTCTTAAATTAAGAGACATATGAGAATGAAGTATAGCTTTATCTGAAATTTAATATAAACTATCACTTAGCATGTTTCTAAAAATAATAACAATGTCCACATTTCTCTCCCCTCTAGTCTGAGGCTGTGAATTCAACATGGTATCTAGTAACTTGTACTTACAGTACAAATGTTAGGTATTTATTATTTTCTCCTTGACAGTCTTCAGACTGTCATGGTGTTTTTATTTTTATTGTTTTTAAAGAGGCAGGATCTCACTATGTAGTTCAGGCTGGTCTTGAACTCTCCATACTCACTGGGTATTCTTCCCAGATCGGGGTTGAACCAGCAGTGATCCTCTTACCTTAGTCTCTAGTGTGATTATAGGCATGTGCCACCATACCCAGTTCTACCATAGTGATATTTTTTTTGAGGCAGCATCTTACTATGTAGTTCAGGCTGGTCTTGAACTCACTCTGTAGCCTATGTTGGCCTTTAACTGATGGGAATTGTCCTGGGTCAGCCTCCCAAGTGCTGGGACTGCCTGCCTGCAAGGCAGGCACTTATGCTGCTGAGTTAAATCCCCAGCCCTGTCATGGTGTTTTTAACTGTGCTGCTCTAAAAGGACATTCATAAGTAGTGTAGTTTTTTTTCAGTACTAGGATACAAACCCAAGGCCGCCACACTGAGCCACAGCCGCAGTCTCTTTTCATTTATTATTTTCTCATCAAAGTTTCCCAGAGTGGGCTGTGACTTGTAGTCCTCCTGCCTTAGACCCCCAGAGTGCGAAGATTTGAGGCATGCACCACCATGCCAAGCCACTACTTTTGTTTTTTTGTTTTTTGCCAGTACTTTAGTTTTATGAGAGGGTCCTAGAAAATAAAGTCTGAATTTTGTTGTATTAAGCAATGTATGCATGAGGTAAGGGAAATAATAAGGAATGTTGCCTTATGTTTTATTATTCCTTTATTATGTTCAGTCAATAATGAAAGTAAATAAAGGGGCCTGGGGATTTAGCTCAGCAGCATAAGCACCTGCCTTGCAAGCAGGTGGTCATGAGTTCACTCCCCGGTACCAATTAAAAAAAATAGTGAAAGTAGGCCACAACAGCAAGATCTGTGGTATGTATAAGTAAAAAGAAATGCTCTCCTTTCTCGGGGTAGTTGGTTGGCAAATCAAATTGCTCGAAGTAATGACAGATTATTTTATTATTTTATGTATGTATGTGTGTGTTTTTGAGACGGTCCCACTGCACAATTCAGGCTGGTCTTGAGCTCACTTTGAGCCCAGGCTGGCCTGGAACTTGCAATGATCTTTCTCTCTCAGCCTCCTGAATGCTGAGGTTACAGGTGTGTGCCACCACGCCCAGTTTAAACCACAGATTATTAATAGCAACAAGTCAGTAAGTGTTGCACATATAGCAAGCCACATATTTAATTGGTGAGAGAACCCAGAGAAAGAAATGAAGTTCCAAGAGATGTCTGAAGTAGCATTAATTGAAGTGAAGAGAAAGGTTGGGTGTTTGTGAAGGAAACTGGCTAGCTGAATAAATAGTGGGTTTATCAAATTTTCACAAAGAAGCTTTTTGTGTCACTAGGAACCACGTGAGCAGTTTGGCTGGAGGAGAAAGATGGTGGTCAGAAGCTTAGAGGGAACAGTTGGAGAGTTTGCTAGTGGGGCAGACTATCAGATTGAATAATTTCTGTAACATGGAGAATAGAGGAGCTGCTAAAACTGATGGGTTAAAAATACTGCAAATTAAAGGTGAATTTTTATGGACATAGTACATTATAGGGGAGGTAATAGGTTAATCTATGTATTGGCTGTAAAGAATGGATCAGACTGGAACTGTGGAAGTAAAATTGTAGGTATGGATCTGAGAATTAGAGTATTTATTCAACAAGTTTATGTTGTTTGTCCCTTTCATGCAAGTAATTATTTTAGTTACTGTACAAAGTAAAGTTCATGCATCAAACGTTTACTTGAGGACTCACTGTTGGTGTGGCCCTGTGCTAGGTTGAGAAGCCACCCAGTTCCCTTCCTTGCCTTGCTCTCCCCTCCGCTCCTTTCCCTCCCTTCCCCTCCCCTCCCTTTCTTTGCCCTTCCCTCCTTTCCTCTCTCCTCCCTGTTCCTTCCTCCCTTTTCTCTCTCCCTCTTTTCTGTGGTACTGTGGATTGAATCTAGAGCCTTTGCACTGGCTTACATCCCAACTTTTTTTTTTTTTGTAAGTTGCCCAGTCTGTTCAGACTCTTGATCCTTCTGCCTCAGGTTCCCTCAGTACTCTGCAGGAGCCTGAAGCAGGAAGATCTCGAGCTTAATTTCCCAGTTCAAGGCCTTGGAAATTTGTTGCAACCCCATCTCACAATAAAAACGTAAAGGACTGAAGATGTAGGGTCAGTTCCCAGTATACACACTCACACACAGCACACACACATCCACCCTTGATTAGTTGATTGGAAGTGTGATAGGGACAAAAGATCAGAGTTGGTACTGCCTCATTTATGTTTTATTTTTTTGTGGCAGGTCTTGCGGCATAGTCCAGGTTGGCCTCAAACTCACAGTCTTTGTGTCCTGTCCTCCCAGGTTCTGGATTACAGTTGTATGCCAGCATCTCTGGTTGTGTATTTTTGTTTTGCAGAGAAGTTACAGCAGCATTTTGAGGGTTTGAGTTAGTTTATGGGCTAAGACTGCAAATGCTGACATTATATCTGGCTTTTCATTTCATCTCTTTTCTTTGTACTAGCTCTGGACAAATTAGTGAACCTTTTTCTAAACATCAGGGTCCTAATTTGTAAGATGGGATTGATTATTTTATTCATCATGGATTTGTGTTGAGGCTTAAAAATGCTATATATATAGTTCATAAAATAAAGTGCATAACTGTAATCCCAGCCCTTGAGAAGCGAGGGCAGAAGGATTGCAAGTTCAAAGCTATTCTGAGATATAGAGATATTCAAATATGACTTAGACTGCATGATGAGATCTGATCTCAAAGAACAGAACAGACAAAAACCAAAAACTAAAATCCAAAACATAGGGCCAGAGATGTAGCTCAGCAGCACAGCACCTGCTTGGCAAGGTCATGTGTTTGATTCCTGGTACCAGAAAAACAAAAACAAATAAAATCCAAAACATGAATAAGTAATCTCACTTGGAGGAAGCAGAAGAGGCTAGGGATCCAAGGGTAGAGCTGTAGATTTAAGGTTCAGAATCACTTGTTGAAATACTCATACGCTGAAAAAATATAAATTACTAATGAAGAGTGAGGTGTACTGACTTCAGGAGCTACCGACAGTATTTTCCATAGGAAAGCAGTAATAAGAGTCACTTTTGAAATAGACATTTTCATTTCGGTTAGAGTTAAATCATTTTTTCCGTGTTTAGTGTAGAATCCTGCATTGGTGCTTTGTAATCAGCCATATGAAAAAAGTATTTTGTGTTCTCGTTAAATCCAGTTCCTGCTCTGTTCTCAGAATCGTCAAATTCATGGAGCGTAGAAATTATTCTCTGGATCTGCAACATCCCCCTAAAAAGAGAAAAGATTTCATTGAAATAGGTAGCAATTTCTGTAATTAGCTATGCAATTAATTCTGCTTTTGTTTAACTGATAGAATTGATAACTAGTGGGAAACCTTAGCTGTGCCCTTTGGTCTAATAAATCCACTTGAAATCTATTTTAAAAATGTAATTCAACAAAGAAAATGATGAAGCTTAGAGCTTTTCAGTGTGTGTGAGATTTTCACTTTTTCAGTGGAAAATCAGCCCATTGTCAGTAATAGTCAAATATGGTCACCATAGAGTAATTTGCTCTCATTAGAAATAATACTTGCTGGGCATAGTGGTGTATACCTGTTAGTTCATAACTTGAGAGAATGAGGCAAGAAGATTGGACTTCAATGCTGGTGTGGAGTATATAGCAAGACCCTGTCTCAGAAATGAAAAAATAAAACCTTTTAAAATTTGCATACCACAGAGGTTATTTTTTTCTCAAGCAAAAAATTAAAACAAGGCAATATATAGAGTATGTACAGTGATTGTAGCTATGCTTTATAAAATTAAAAAGTAACTTTCGTGCTGATATATGTGTATTAAATACTGACTTCAGTGAAAAAAGAGGCCTAAATCTTGTCATTAAAATTTTGAAATGGAGTATCATTATTTTGTGTTGCTAAGGATTGAACACAGGGTCTTAAATGCGGAGGGCAGCATTTAAGTGCCTTCCTACTGATTTATATCTCCAGCCACTGGCATGAAATGTTTTTTTCTTTTTTTCTATAGTGGAAATTGAACCCAGCATATTTTTTTTTTTTTTGGTCTTTTTCTTTTATTTTTTTAAATTGGTACTGGGGATCAAACTCATGACCACACACTTGCAAGGCATGTGCTTATGCTGCTGAGCTAAATCCCCAGTCACAAACCCATCGTCTTTTCACTGAGTTCTGTCTCTAACCTTTTTTTTTGAGACAAGGTCTTGCTCTGTTAGTTAATTCAGGCTGGTTTTAAACTCACTGTGTAATGCAGCCTAGCCTCAAACTCAGTGATCCTTCTGCTTAGCCTCCTGGTGCTGAGTTCTCCTAAGGCATATGCCACCATGCCTGGTTTTATTTATATTTTTTGAGACAGGATCTCGCTATGTAGTTCTGGCCATGACCTCACTGTGTAGCCCAGGTTGACCTTGAACTCATGTTGATCCTTTTGCCTCAGCCTCCCTAATG